ACATATTTTTGGCATAGAAAGTGATCGAATTGGAGAATGATGTCGAATCAAAATTGTAGCCAGATGAGTTAGCTTTCCAACTCATTTTGAATCGCTTCAATCGGATATCAGAATACAAAGTTATAATAAAAACATTAAAAGAAGGTGCAGCCGCTTATTTAAAACAAGAAATTTTGTTACATAATCCGTTATATTGAGATCTATTTTTGGCATAGAAAGTGATCCAATTGGAGAATGATGTCTAAATCAAAGTTGTAGCCAGATGAGTTAGCTTTCTAACGCATTTTGAATCGCCTCAATTGGACATCAAAATACAAAGTTATGATAAAAACACTGAAAGAAGGTGCAGCTACCTGTTTAAAACAAAACATTCCGTTACATAGTCCATTATATTGAGACATATTTTTGGCATAGAAAGTGATCGAATTGGAGAATGATGTCTGAATCAAAGTTGTAGCCAGATGAGTTAGCTTTCCAACGCATTTTGAATCGCCTCAATCGGATATCGGAATACAAAGTTATGATAAAAACATTGAAAGAAAGTGCAGCTGCCTGTTTAAAACAAGAAATTCCGTTACATAGTCCGTTATATTGAGACCTATTTTTGGCATATAAAGTGGTCGAATTGGAGAATGATGTCTGAACCAAAGTTGTAACCAAATGAGTTAGATTTCCAACGCATTTTGAATTGCCTCAATCGGATATCGGAATACAAAGTTATGATAAAAACACTGAAGGAAGGTGCAGCTGCCTGTTTAAAACAAGAAATTCTGTTACATAGTCCGTTATATTAAGATATATTTTTGGCATATAAAGTGGTCGAATTGGAGAATGATTTCTAAATCAAAGTTGTAGCCAGATAAGTTAGCTTTCCAACTCATTTTGAATCGCCTCAATAGGATATCGGAATACAAAGTTATGATAAAAACACTGAAGGAAGGTGCTGCTGCCTGTTTAAAACAAGAAATTCCATTACATAATCCGTTAAAACAACAAATTCCGTTAGTATTTCCGTTAAACCAACAAATTCCGTTAAATAGACACTTTTTATATATAGAAAGATAAATGATTGTTTCCTTTCATTCATCTTTTTGGGAGAAATCAAAGAGATGTTCGAAAGAATTATTGAAGATTCAACTTTGAAGATGTCCTGATTTCTTGGATTTGAAGATTGAAGAGATTCATCGTATCTTGTTATTCTTAGAATATCGGGTGATATCTATGTCAAATTTTGTTGTTTTGATTTCTTCCATATTTCTTAGCCAAATCAGTTGTTAGGACAAAAATTTGTAGCTAATTGATTTCTATTCATGTTTTAATTCATTATTTTGGATTCCTCTTATTAAATTGTGTTGAATTGGCATTGATTTTATCTTAATTAATGTCATGTAACAAAGTGGTCATACGCAAACGTCAATGGTTGTATCATACGGAGCGTCAGCAAGTTGAATCCATGTATGCCTCTTTGTATCTTTTCCACAGTATGTGACAACGTTGATTAATGCAATTTGAAACTTTTATTTCAAAAAAAAAAAAAAAACATATTACCTACCATGTCCAAAAAGGCATTCTTTAAATTCCTGGCAATTTCTTGACATAAAACACTGCAAGCAATTAGCACATTTTACCTTAAGATACTCAAACTTGAAATAAGATGTATGACATATAAGTGCACACAATTGTGTCAACACTAGAAATAATCTGAAGCCAGAAATAAAGAAGCTGAAACCTGCAATTTAATCTATAGGAAAAACCACAGTATTTTCAACAGAATAACCCATTGGCTTTGAGTTCAACAGAATCATAATTCAGAATGAAGGGGACTGAGATAACCAGTTTATTATCTTTGTTTCGATCTCACCATATCAAGATCTACCACGAAATCCTTTGTCCAATATCTCAGGCCGAGAAAGCGGAAATGCTTGACGTAAGCATATTAGAACTCATTAAAGCCCTATTTACATCATTATGTTCGATAAAAGGAATGGGGGGAAGCTCCAATAGAAAAATTTCGAAAGAGAAAAATACTTCAAAGATGAACTTGTTCTCGTGCAATAGTGAGGAATTCCTGACAGTACCGAGCTGTAACACAATATATTCTTCTTGAGTATCCTGTTTCAACACCAAAGAATTTCCTGCCACTACCTCAGACCATTAACATGGTTCTAAAGAAGAGAAATGTTCATCTTTAGATATGTCAGTATCAGATTTTCATGGCATAAGCAAAACTTGAGTAACCTCAAGAACTTTTTCAACGTACATGGGTTCACAAGTTTAGACATGATTAATCCAATATTCAATTTCGAAAACTGTTTTGCAACTTGGTAAAAACAACAAAGCTGATAAGGCGACAGGGCAATTATTAGAACTATATTTCCATCGTAACTTACTTTTACCATTGGAGTAAATTCAAAATTTAGTTTTATTCTTTCACTTCTAAAACAACCGTTCATCTGCCTACGATACCAACTACACTACACCAGTTTGTTTCAAAAACTACATAGAAACTCTGTTATCAGTTCATCTATCAATAATATCTCAATTTTATTACCTATGTCGTCGATTTTTCCTTTGAACTCTAACCATTGCATCTCTCTGTCAAGTATTTTTCCCGGTATGTTCCCTTCTGCTTCAAAATCATGGCCAGTTAACAATTTTTGACAAGCATCTCTAACCACTTGTTTCTGGCAGGTTGAATTGACTCTCTTTGTCTTTGGCATCACCCAGGGGTACAAGTCAACATGATGCTGGAACACCTCCAAGAGTGCTGAATTTATTCTGTCAAATAGCAACCTTCTTTCGTCCCTCAAACCAGTTATCTCATCATTGTATTTCTTCTCCAGGTCGTCGAACAACCATGGGCTCAAAGGGCATTCTGAGGAGTACCATGTTGTCCTAAACATATAGAGGTCGGACTCTTCGAAACCAGAACAAATTAGCACATCGTGAACATATGAAGTTTTCCAGGCTTTAGCTCCTAACATATTGTTTTCCTCAGAAACCTTATGTGATTTTTGTGCCACGTCATTTTCACTAGAAATGATAGTGGTTGCCTCCTCAACACGTGGTTGTGACTCCATCTTGAGGAGCTGCAGTTGCATTCGCAGTTCTACAACAAAGAAGATAGATAGAATGTTAGCAAACTATACTTGTATAAGAAATTGTGAAAAAACAAAAAGGAAAAAACCAGAGAGAGAATCCATTTATCATGAAAATTAGCAAGGACAGCGTGAGAAATTCTAGTAAAGCTTGGTTTATATCCATACTAAATTCTAGTATTATAAGAAGCTAAGGTAAATGAGCGACTGATCCAACAGATATATAGAACCTACATATGTAGGCTTCCTCTCTGAGAATAACAGGACGTCAACATTTCATCAGACAAAGACAGACTGGTCCAGGATGTCTGTAGAGAAGCCGCTGATTGAAGCATGTACAGACTACAAAAGCAGTGGATCCATCAGATCAACACTATCAAATGCCATGTGCTGAACGCCAACTTTAGCTTAGACCCCTCATTGAAGTTAAAAAAAAAAAAAAAAAGGTCGACTATTTCAGTATGATGGGGTCGGGGACATTATTTATTTTAAATTTCCGCTTTTCATGTGTTCTTTTATTAAATAAGCATTCAAAATCACCTTTCTCCTTAAATTTAATACAAAAGATCCTCCTCCATTGCATGAAAAAAAAATTGTTAACCTTCAAAACAAATGTTCCTATATATTGTTCATGCTACACCACCATCTATTCTAAATAGTTACAAAAAATTACATATTGTGATAGAGAATCCATTCTATCCACTTCTTAGGTCATTTAACTCATATAACTAAGCTTTCGGCTCCTGCAAGTGGCTAAAAGGCCAAATGCAGTAAGAAGAAAAGGTCCATACAGTATCCCGGAGGTGAATCAGAGAGCAGGAGGCAGCCCTCCCCTCTGGGGACCCGGAGAGTTTGTAAGAGCATTAATAGTGCTCCTGCTAAGGAGTTAGAGATCCTCTAATCAAAGGCCCATAAAGAGATCTCTAATGAGAGTTAACTCATAGAAGGTACTAAGGATTAAGAAATACTTTAAAAGATCTTAGGAATCATAAAGGAAGTCTTTATATTAAGAGGAACTCTAGCTTAATAGCTCAGAAGCTCAAGCTACAACTCAACACTTTGAGACCGTTTTAAGTAGAACATACAATTAGTTAATTGCCAAGAGATGCCCCCCACCCCAAAAAAAAAAAAATAAATCAATCAATCAATCAATCAATCAATTCTAATAGTACAGATTAAGCCCCTGTTTATCTACCATTTTTTTTAATATTGTTTTCTACAGTAATCAATTTCCACCACACATTCAAATAATAAAATATTCTACACATAAATCGATAAAGTTTCTTTCAATTTTAACCACACATTTTATAACCAAATATTCACTCAATAAAATATTCCACACACAAACCAATAAAGTTACTTTAAATTTTAACAACACATTCTCCAAAAAATACTATTCCTTACTCCATTTTTCTACCAATAATGGTAGACAAAACAGGCTCTAAGTAGCTTCGTACCATGAAGTTCAGCATTGACTCTCTCAAAGCATTCAGAAACAGATGATACGTCTTCTGTAAAAGGGACCTGCAGGACAGAAACTGGACTGGGATCATCAGCCAGCAGCGAGTTTTCAGAAGAGCCAGAATCTGTACCTTGTTGGGGTGGTCCCTTGTGTGGCTCCTGGAACATCGTGAAAGGCCGAAATGAATACTTGTAATGAATAAATCTTTGCATAACTTAATAAAGTGGCAGTCCACGGCTAAAATAATAAATGAAATCTTACTGTACTATGGATTGAATAATCGCCTGAAATACTTAGCAATAATGTCACGTCTTAATAAAATGTAAGATGTGTGTAACAGCTCTTACAAACATTAATTAGAAATTAACTTTCTGGCATGGCAAGTACTAGAAATTTAAGTGGCATAACAAACAAGGACAGTAAAGTGTAATTGTATAATTATGCAACAGATGGTGATTAATAATTTCAATTGTGTTGTTCTAACCTTTCCCCTAAAATCCAATAGCCCCTACTTATGAGACTAAAGAGAAAAGAAGAACAGTGTACTTCAAAAGAATAAGGAAAAAACCATAACAAACACTATTTTAGTAACAGACTCTTGTTGTCTGTTGTTTTTCCAACAATATATTTGCATATTATACATAAAAAATTCACATGTTGCATTATCATAGAATCTGGAGCAAGTTTTCTTGGCATTTCAAAGAAATTAGGAATAACGTTCCTCAGCATGTCATAAATTTACGAATAACCATTATACATTGCTGAAAATCTGCGTTTACTGCCTTCTGAATAAATTTACAGAAGTTCACAGCCAGAAAGAATTGAAAAACTACGTACAATGTACTTGATTTCCTGTCACGGAATGTAACATGATTCCAGTCAAAGCTCTAAATGCATTAAAAGGATTAAAATGTTTGAATTAGAAATTTTCTATTATGCATCTTGTGGTATGTAAATTTGTTTGGAGTCCAGTGACAAGATTGGAATCTTCCCCGACTGCTGACACTAAAAACTGAAAATTTCAAGTTGAAAGCAATGATCATTTTATACGACAGAGTGCTTTCGTAATGCCACAGCTAGGAAAAAACTTACAAGCAACTAACACAATTAGGCATGTTTGTAGTACACAATGAAAAGTTTCAAGCAATAAACGAAAGAGCCATTTACCAATTTCATGTGGCTAGTTCAAGAAAATAGAGAAGATAAGTTCTCCCAACAAGTTGAGTTATGGGGCATGGAAAACTTTAAAGTGAAAAATAAGACATTTAAAAGAAGCAAGCTTGGATGGTTTTTGCAGTCACTGCATTCATGCTCACTTATAAAAATTGTTTGAAGAAAGTGAAAATCCGAACCTGGAAACTGTGAACCGGTTCGTTGTGAGCAATAGTGTTGACATTTTCTACCTCTGAAGAAGACTTCTTCAAAGACAACTCAGAAGATTTTAAAGATAACTCGGGACTTGTACAGGTTCCATCCTCTGTTGCCATCTGAGACATGCGCTGTTGTTCGGATGGATCCTTCTCAAGGTTTGTCTCCATTTGAATCTCAAACCTGGCTTTCAGTGAAGAGTCTGTCTCCCTAATAAATGCACGGTGTCGCGAAATATGTTTCTTGCTCCTGGTTAAATTTTTTTGTGAAAAATCTTCTTTCGGATACAGATTTCCCTTCACAGTCTTACTTCTACCACGACTTAAGGAGTCGCTGTGCATGAGATATTCGTCTTCAGCAATAGCATCACATTGTGCACTTCTTCTGTGAATTCTACCACTTTTGAATGGAGGAAGGGATTTTGATCTAGTTGAAGATTTAATAAGCTTACTATTCCAACCATCCCTGCTGCTGATACCAGAAGGCTCATCCACAGTTCCATTGTTTCTAGCAAGTCGATCGTATTCTCTATTAAGATCCACCTTGGCATTCACATTTTCATGTTCTGTTTCTCTATCAGGTATGGCAAGCATTTCACCCAGTGTGCTAGCCTTAGCAACCATTTCGATGTCTTGATATTTGTGACTCATCTTCCACCTCTCAGAAAGTCTCTTCTTTGCCTCCCTACTGATGGATGATGACTCAAGTAAATCAGAAGAGGTATATTCACACCAGTTATAATGACAGGAGGAATTTCTGGACGACACTTTAAATACGTCTGACTCACTGCCTGAATCGCTCTCATAAGCATCACACGAACTCTCATCCCCTGCATATCCTCTTACTCTAGAAGACATTAGATCAATCCTTCCATCACAACCATGTGTTATATGGTTTGTAATTCCCCTGGCTATTATTCTAGCTTCTCTTGAACGGGTCTTCAAGAATCTCATGTCATCAGAGGATTCTTTTCCTCCCACTGATAGTGTTTCAGCACCTCCAACAATTGGATATTCCTTGAGTTTTCTGACATTGGACGGAGAACCAGGTAAGTAATCAGGCAGTGCAGGAGAGGTATCTGCGTTGTGCATCTTCCTGAGGTTTGGCTTGAGAACAACAATGCTTGTGGGAAGAGTTATTTTTTCATCATTTTCTTCAGATTGAACCTCTGACTTGCGAGAAACGTGAACTCTATGGCGACTGTGCAATTGGAGTAATAGACCATCTTCACGTTTCTCATCACAGCTGAAGTCATGATTACATGAAATATGTCTCTCTGATTCCCATGCTTTGACATTTCCTTCACATTTTGCAGAATTTGATGGCTTCAAAACTGTTATCTGACTGGGAGGGTGGACTTGAAAATCTTGCAAATGCTTTGCACACAAAGAATCTGGTTTTTGGAGAAATTTTAGCATTAAATTTGCATTTGAGTCGAGCATCTCTAGTGTATCATCAAACTGTTTTGTACACTGAAGCTTTGCGTCCATTGAAAGACATTTTGCATCCATGAACTTCTGCTGAACAAGTGCCATCTCAGATTGTGTAAGCCTTGAGCTTGAACTCTCTATTGACGAGTAATGCCGATTAGTGACGTGTGAAGCTTCCAGATCTTCATATAATTCTTTGAACACTAGCTTTTTCATTAAGCTTCTCCTACGCGAATGGCCATCCGAAAGTTGACCACTCCATTGAGGGCTCATTGATGCATTTTCCTGCCGATAGCTATCCGATGACCTCGATCTTTGCCTATGAACTTGCCGTTGACTTGGCAGCCCATCAAGACTCATCAAAATAGGTATATCACTTGGTGATCTTCTTGTTGCTTTAACTTCGTTTGCCTTTTCTTCTGCCAGTAACTTCTTCATCTGAATTCCAATGGCTCGTATAGGAGAGCTATACCCTGATTCAAGCATAAACTGCAAACGCCAAGTCAAAATTATCAAATGTTTGAGTCTCTTCAGGCAAAGCGAAAGTGCCATATAATACCTTAGCACCTCAATTACATCATGGACAAATCATATAAAGGAAAATAGATATCCACGCACCATATCCTTTCTTGTGGTTCCATCAATATAAGGATGAGAATCAGAAGAAGACAATTTCGAAATAGCTTCCTGTTTCTGGATCCGTTTCTCAATCCGTTGAATTCCTGAATAGAAATCCAAATAAAGTCACCAACTGTACAATGAACGAGTGCATGCTTGCTGGCACAAACTAAGATACATATAATCAATCTGGAATTGTCTGTCAAAGAAATGAAATCCATCGAAAATTTTTGAACAAATTGAAGCAAAAACAGCAGAATAAAATATTCAGCAAACAGGGAAAATATGAAATGTTATACTCCATCTAAAATTCCAAAAATACAGTAGAAAGCACGATTTAGATAATTGGGAAGGAAATTGTAAATAAAATCCGCGGGTAATATTAAAAAGGGAATTTCATTTTTTTTTTCCTTTCCTTTTTGAAATTTGGGAAATCTCAAAATTTTAATTTAAAACACCTTAATTAAAGAGAGCAGAAAATTTCTCAAATTTTTCTTTAATAAAATTCGTTAGAATGAGATTTCATTTCTTATGCTTCAATGATTACCAAAGAAAAATTAACGATTGCGAAATTTCACAGAAACAAACTTAAAAAACCTTTCGATTTTGATTCTCATGTCACTGGAAAAACAAAATGCGTTCATGTTGGATCAAAAGCGGAAAAAAAAAAGGGTACCGTCAAATTCAATGCTTGTAGCACTCCTGGACCTCCTTTGTCGAGCTCTTTCCATTTTCGCTTTCTCGAGAAATTCAAACACAGTGGACAAAAAGTGAAAACTTTTCTCTTTTGAAAAAAGAAAACTGGAGAGGAATCCAAAATCTCGCAAAAAAGCACATTACAGCTCCACCTCGGAATCCATCTCCATTATTTTCATAGCTTTCCACCAGCTCATCTTTAAACACCTAACACAACGAAAAATCCTTGTCATCAGCCTCTTACATACACTTTCAAGAGACAGAAAATCAGAGCAGGAGCAGGACTATACATGCAAATAGTACAGAGAGAGAAAGATAGAGAGCGAGTGACAGAGACAAAACCATACATTTATGCAGTTTTGGAGAGAGGGTACAGATAGGAGGTGGAAGGCGGACATTAATGAGAGCACTTTGAGTGTGAGTGTGTGTGCATTGAAATGGAAATAGAATAGGTTGACAAGATGGGGGGCTGGACTACCTGCGAGTGCAGGAACTAGTGGGGTCCACATATGGTGGGACCTATGTGCCACGTGTAGGATTACTATATTGACACGTAATATTAATCATAGTTCCCCAAACTATTGTTAAATAATAATTTAGTCTTTTGATATAGCTTCAATTCGTCTTCGAGGACAGAAACTGTCCAAATTCTCCGTTATTTTGTAATGCGAAATTAATGAATTTTGCTATAAGTACAGGAAAATTATATAGAATTGGTACACAAATTTGAAATGGAGGGAATATATTCAAAATGGGAAGAGGGAAAACAACACACAAGGACATGATGCTACCATTCAAATTCCTGTTAAATATCTGTTAGTTATTCCCTGTACTTACAGCATTTTTCAAAATTCATATACCCAATTTTAATCAAAGTCAATCATTAATTTTAATTATATATTTTTTGAGATTTATAATTTTTCACCCACACATTTCATTAACTTTTATCAAAATTTACTAAAAATCTGATTTTTATCTGCACTAAACATATGCTATACACGTATTGTGTTATGTTATACCTAAATACATAGAATTTTACTTTTGTTTATGAAGGGTAATACTGAAATATACTTAGGGTCCGTTTGGCAAGATTTTTAAAAAGTTAAAAGTTGTTTTCAAAATTAAAAAGTTATTTTTTAATACATTTGAATAATTTTTTGGAGTATTTTGCCTAGCTAGAAAAGTATTTAAAAGAAGTTAGTTTGTAACTTTATCAAGAATTTCTTCTACGAAAAAGAAGTAATTTTGTCAAAAGTGCATAAGCTCTTCTACAAAAAGTAGTGGTTCTATAAAACGGTCCTTAGCTGGTCATATTAATTATAATTAGGTTATTTGTTAGGTGAATATAATCTTTTTAAGTAGCTTTCTGCCACCTTTGATGCTTTGGATTCCAGATTGTTGTGTGGTATGTCATTATGATGGTTTTAATAGCAACATTATCTCTAACTATTATTAAGTTGTAGCTGTAAATAGATCCGTAGATAAGTGACTTTAGGAGATTACTTTGTGAGTTGTTGGCTACTCGTACAATTCAATGCACCAAATATATATCATAAACAAAAAAATATCCCCACATTCCGGGATCGTTTGACAAAGTTTTTGATCAAATTTATTAATAAATTGATAAAAGTTAACCTTGAGGGATTGCTCAATTGGTCAGACTTTGGGTTTGCTCCCCAATGATCACCAGTTCGAGTCCCCTTAGAGCCACTGAGGTGAGTATCCGACAGTAAACCTTAGGGTCTCGTGGGATTAGTCGAGTTACGGCAAGTTGGCCCAGACACCCACGGTTATCCAAAAAAAAAAAATTGATAAAAGTTGTCGGTTCTATTAAATATTAATAAGTTTTAGCAAAGTATTACGTGCTTCTTAAATAATTATTGTTGTTCGTGTACAAACACAGTCGGGATTTCAAATTTTAGAATTCAAAATAATCTAAACGAGCGTGCATTTATAACATTTGGTAGAGAAGTACATACAGCAATTTAGTGGGTGTTTGGTGGGGATTAAAATTAGTTTTTTAGTAGATTTTGATAAAATATTTTGAAATGTGTGGTTGAAAAGTTGAGGGACCATGAAAGATGTAGTTAATATTGATTATCTGAATTTGATTTAGATTAAAATTTGATTTGAATTCGAAACAAACAGGACCTTAATATGTGACGATGCCTTCTTATGAAATGTTTGTCTATGCACTTCATTCCTGGCCTAAAGACGTCTCGACCTTTTGACCCTGTGCAACCTATTTGTAGGTAGGAGTTGCTCGTGTCTATAGACTTGACAAAGTTGAAAAATTATTTAGGTTCATCCCGGACATAATAGTCAATTGATGATATTATAAAATATTTTAGGCAAAGATAAATAAATTTGGCTTCTTTGAAGCGATGGATCTATTTACCTGAATAATTTTGACTTAAAGAAAAGGCTAAACCTAGTTAATTACCCTAATTAAAAGTTAGTAGGTCCAAACTCACTAAGATTAATTAAGTTCCTGTTTGGCGAGAATTAAAATCAAATTTTTAGAAAATTTTTGATAAAAGTTGATGAAATACGTAGTTACAAAGTCGTAGGTTCCATACTTAGAGTGTGTTTGGTAGGAATTTTTTGGGGAAGAATTGATTTTTGAATAGTGATATGATGGGAAATGTGTGGTTGAAAAAGAAGAAAAAAGTATTGATGTGATGGAAAATATTATTTTATTGAAGAATATGTGGTTGAAAATGAGAATTGATTTNTATTATTTTATTGAAAAATGTGTGGTTGAAAATAAGAATTGATTTATTGTAGAAAATGAAAATCTGTAACAAACAGACCCTTAGATTAAAATCCAAATTTTGATTTTTTACCAGAGAAGGACTAATTTTTAATGGTCATAATTACGCTGGCGAATGCAGCCTAAACTTGTGTAATCACTAATTTCACTGCTGCATTAATTAAATTCTAAAATCGTTTTTCCTTAGATTCATTTTCTATTACATATTCACGGAACTCATAACTTTTATCGACTATTCAAGGTGTTAAAAGTGATTGAAAGTTTAGAAATCAAGAAATGGCCGTATGATTTTATAGATTCTAATTCTAGGGAAAGGTCCACAAAGAGTAGAAATTGTTGATTTAAACCTTGGAACCATGCAATGCAAGGAACAATTCCATGCCCGTGCAATGTCCAATCAATTCACAGGAATCAAAAATAGCTAGCATTGCGGAATTTGCCGTGTGCTTTGCAGACATTATTATCCAATTTGTTTTCAAATGATTATGTCTCTCCTTTTTAGAATATGCTGAAATCCCAACGCAGGCGCTTAAAACAATACTATGTTAACTATCAACGAGTCACTGATAGCCTGCGATGTCGTTTTTCTTAGAGTCAATCAATCACTAATAGCAGCAGACATACATAGTCGAAACCTAGCCAAAAAAATAAGAAAGCGCGGAACTCAACATGATAGCTCTAACAAAAACAGTGTTCTAAAAAGCTTGTTGATGCGAAAAGTGGATAAAACACTTTGCTTTGACAGTAAGCTCGAATTAAGCGATCAACAGCTAAGTTGACTGTTTAATGCGCGACTAGACGTGCCTAAGCGCACTTTATTAATTTTAATTTTTTTTTTTTCGTTCTTTAAAAAAACATTTTATTTGACTTTACTTTATTAACTTTTTATTTTTATTTTATTTTAAAAGGCTTTTATTTTACTTTAGTTTCAAATTTTTAAATGTGTTTATCTGTACAAAATTCCAAAATGACTTATTCAATAAAGAATTAGATAAGAATTAAGTTATAATGTTATCTATATTATGTAATTATGATTTTCAGACTTATCATTTTGTTGAAAACTTGAAAAGTATGCTTGAAATTCTTATAAATCTATTCAGTAGAACTTATCTAGTTGAAAATTAGTCTAGATTTTGCATTTCGAAAATTTAAAAATTGTATAATTGACTAATTAGAAATTATTAAGTAAATAAAGTATTTTATAATTTTATATGTTTGATATATATTATTTTATTTATTAAATAATTTTTAGAATGATTAAAAAATAAATATATTATTAAAAATTAAAAACAGTTAGCCATCGCTTAAACTCGTAAAGTTTGAAATTTCACCTCTGCGCAGAGATCTAACAAGGAGCTACCCACAATAACATTGGAATTAAGACCATTTTTTCTTCCAGAACACAGGAACTAATTATAGTGCCAAAAGTGTATTCCAGGTTTGAGTACTGCAGCGTTGGACTAGCCAATGAAGGAGCTTAATTTTTTAATTAATTCTTTGAAAATTAAAAAATGAGCTAAATATTTGTCCTGTAGTTAAATTATGCTTCTGATTCATGCTTGAGGCCAAACAAGGCCCAGGTCCAACCAGAACACCCATTACAGCCCAGGAAACAAATTCGACTTCTGTCCACGTCCAAATTATCCCCAACATTTCACAAAATCAACGTAACAAATGCAGTGGATCTGCCTCATTACCGCAGGGTGGGGATATAATTCTTGAATGTGCGTTTGTTGTGGTTGAATTCACGTACCAAGTATTAAAGGATAAAATCTCACATCGAATAAAGATGAAAATATAGATCAACATATAAGGGATTGAGCTACTCTTCTTAATAAGGTCAACCCTTTTAAGATGGAATATCAAATCTTAACATGGTATTAAAACTCATTAAACTCCAACGAACAATTTAATTCGATTAAAACTTAAAAAAATGAGCACGTGAATTTCAATATTCCACATCGAATAAAGTAAATTATCCCCAACATTTCACAAAATCAACGTAACAAATGCAGTGGATCTGCCTCATTACCGCAGGGTGGGGATATAATTCTTGAATGTGCGTTTGTTGTGGTTGAATTCACGTACCAAGTATTAAGGGATAAAATCTCACATTGAATAAAGATGAAAATATAGATCAACATATAAGGGATTGAGTTGCTCTTCTTAATAAGGTCAACTCTTTTAAGATGAAATCTCAAATCTTAACATGGTATCAAAACTCATTAAATTCCAACGAACAATTTGATTCGATTAAAACTCAAAAAAATGAGCATGTGAATTTCAATATTCCACATCGAATAAAGTAGACCAACTTATAAGGATTTAAAATACTCCTCTTAATAAAATTGACGTTTTAAGATGGGACCCAAATTTTAACTCCAAGAACTTGTACTCTAAGAGATGGAAGCGACTGAAAAGTATAGAGATGGAAATTTGGGAACTTGGGTCAATAATGGTGTTTGAATTATCTCAATGTTTGGTGATGGCTCCTTTAGATGGCAAGAATAAAAAAGAGTGGCGGAAAAAGATTTATATAGTCAACTCCAGATTTATTGCAGAATAGATGGAACAGGGATCTGGCTTAATCGATAGGTTATCAGATTGTTTCTCTTTTTCTACTGAGAGAAGCTGTAGTGACTGCTAAGAAATATAATATGGTTATTTTGTTTTATTATTTATTGAGATGGAACAGGGATCTGGCTTAAAGCTGTCCAATAGTCTAACAAAAGTTTTTCCTTTGTTTAGCCTATATATAGTTTCTTTGTATTTAGGTTAAATTATCTTTTTGTATTCAATTACTTGATGTAGAATCAATGAAATCCTAGTCTTCTCATTTTTCTTTATTTCTTTGGATTGTTTAACATGGTATAGCATTCTTCCAACGTCGTGGAGGGCTCCTTGGATTCTATACGAAGACAATCCAAACCTTTGATCTGATCAAATACACAGTGATGAAGCCTGTCAAATAATGGACATCATTGGTAAATTTCTCGAGTTTTACGACATTCCATATTTATTGAACATTTATCTCGAATTCCAAGATTCTTGTAATGTTAAGCAAGCAAATATGGAAAAGAAATTCAAAATCTTAACTGTTAAAGGGGTAGATAAAGAGCTTTATCTTGAATTCTTCGGGAAAGAGCCAATGGTAGACCGTACTTGCACTTTTAAATTGAAGGCTGCAAGCAGTGAAAACGCTATAAGCTGACTAGTTATACTTCTCTCAAGACTGTACATTTAAAATCCAATAACTCATTTATCGGAGAATTTGATAGCCTTTTTTTGTTTTCGAACCGTGAATTCCTCGAATTCTTGAAACTCAAGAAATGTTATAGCCTTTGATAATTGATATCTAGTATCAGTGGTGTTAGAGCACTAATTTAGGTGTAAGTATGTGATAGATCATAATAAATTAATTATAAAGATTCTTTAAGAAAAAACACTCAAATTAGAACCCAAGAATATTTTCAAATCCCTTCGAAAAAATTTCGTTCTAAATTCCCACTATACTCAATCCATTCAAAGAAACCATTTCAAAAAAAAATTCCCAAATTAGAATCCCCAGATTTTTTATAAAATTCCACAACATTAAGCCTTGTTTGATTTCACTAAAAAGATGAATTAAAATTCAATTTAAAGTCAACATTTAATTTTAACCACACATTCCATCATTTTTTAAAATCAAAATCTAATAAAAATATGATATTTATCTAAACCAAACATGTCTGTTTGGTCCACATTATTTTTTTCATTATCATTCTTCTACTCATTTTCAACAACACTTTCTTCAATAAAATAATAATTTTCATCAAATCAATAANTTTCAATAAAATAATATTTTTCATCACATCAATAACTTTTCCTTCTTTTTCAACCACATATTTTTCATCATATCAACAGTAAAAATACATTCTTACCTTCAAAATGTGCACCAAAAATGGGCTAATCCATCCCAATTTATATTTAAAAAAAAAAAATCCATCTAGTATCATTTTGATCCCTACTCTAAGGCCATATTTGACCCTAATTTTAAAAATTCATTTTTCTTAACATCAGTTTTTAACCATATATTTTATGGGATCTATAATTTTTATCAATTTTTCAACCACATATTTTGTTAATTTTTATCAAGATTTATTAAAAAATTGATTTTTAGCCAAACGCTCATAACTTTGGGCCACTCTTGGCCCATTCTAAATGTGGTTCAGTAACAGTCCTGTGGCCCAGACCATGAAGCCAACTTTTAAAGACCAGAACAGAAAGTGTCAATTAACGACATCAGCTGTCTCAATTCTTTCCTGATAGCTCCTGACTTCCGTTAGTCTTCTCTTTCCTTCAATTCGCCGATGCCAATGGCAATAGCCGCCGCCATAACGCTGCCGCTCACCACCGTTTACCGACGCTCCATTTTCTGTTCTTCGTTCAGTTCCCTCCGATGCTCTTCTTCGTTTGTCCTTCAGTCAGGCATTCACCAAACGCTTACAATTTCCGCTGTTCGAAAACCTAATTCCGGCATTTTTGCTTCAATGAGCATCGAGGCTCCTGAGAAATTTTCTCCCGATTCATTTCTCGATCGTAGAGAAAGTGGTGTTCTTCACTTTGTCAAGTATCACGGACTCGGAAATGATTTCATATTGGTAAGTTTTGCATAACCTGTATATTTGTGAGTATATGTATTTACTATTTATCTACGTTTAATTGTGTGTATAAATTCAGTTCGACTATATATGGGAAACTCCGATAAATTGACAGTGTGGGATTTTTGTTTTTAAGCTGGACTATTTTCAGGTTTTCTACTTACTCGAAAATAAAAATTCTAGCTTTTGATTTTTAAAGCTTCTTTTGAGGGAAAGCACTGGCTTTTTTAAACATCGAGAAATGATAATCTTTCTACCGTGATTAAACATAAAACAATATTTGGTATGTCTTGCTTTTAAGATTGACATTGATTGATAAATATTTTGTTTATGATCCGTCTAAATTAGCTGAAATTTTAGAGTTAAGCATAAAAGTGAGTTATTCGGTTATTTTCTTCCCTCTTGTTTTCTTGGAGTTGAACACCTTTTAAGTTCTATATTTAGACAAGTAAACACAAATGAAAATTAGTAGATTTCTTAGGATAGGTTTGATGTTCGTTCTATCCTGACATTTTTGGTTTGTTGATTTGATTAGGTTGATAATCGAGATTCAGTGGAGCCTAAAATTACCCCAGATCAAGCTGTGAAATTATGTGACAGAAACTTTGGCATTGGAGCTGACGGAGTGATATTTGCATTGCCTGGCATCAATGGCACGGATTATACGATGAGAATATTTAATTCTGATGGTAGTGAGCCTGAGGTATTTTGCATTTCCTAAGACTATCTTTTCATTTTTCCATGCTTTGGATGTTCATGTTTGTTCAAAATGATTATGATACTTGTACGCCAATTTTATATGTATTGGGACTTCATAGCTATTGCATTTTTCCCCCCCTTAAAATTTCTGCTCCAAAAATTTTCTTTAGATTTGTTGTTTTCTTCAGACCATGAGCCAATAGGATGGTTCCGTGTTAGAAGAACTGGAAAATTTTCAAGGATGCTTATGGAACTCATAAAAATTGAAAATAATGGACTAGACTTCTGCAAGTAATATTTATAAATTATTCACTTTTCATGCAGACATGGAATTCAAACAATGCTATATTTATCAAGAATTCTGATTTTTGCATGTTTCCAAACTCCTTTTTATCCGACTATAGTCGAGAAGGTTCTGATTTCTAATTTTCCTTCTATTGGCAAATAAACTGTGAAAATCATGTTTCCTTTCTTGTTTTCTTTTCATTTGCTTACCCCTCACTACTATACTTCATTAAACTAATAGGGCCTTTCACAAGTCTATTTTTATCCTGGTCCTGATGGGTTCCTTTTCCTTTTTGTTATCACAGATGTGTGGCAATGGTGTTCGATGTTTCGCTAGATTCATAGCAGAACTTGAAAATTTACAAGGAAAGCAGAGGTACATATCGTGTTTTTCTATTATTTTCCAGATTTTCTTGCACTAGCCTATGATTGCCTTGGGAGATTGAACCGCCTCGCTGTCTGTTATAATAACCTGTAAGGTTTAACATTTTATATGACATTCATTGTTTGGAAGTGGTAATGATAAAAACTGTTTTCTCTACTTTTTGATGATAGGATGTGCTTATGTTGATGAAGAAATTCCAAGTGTTTTAAGAATTTTAGAAAATTCTAAAATAATGTTGTGAGTCATCCACAGTAAATCCTCTATTGAGCACTTTTTATGGAAATCAGGAACCTGCAGCACATAGATCCTCTTGTATGAAATGACCCTTTGTGTAAAACCCCAATACTCGAACTAATTTGTTGATTTTACCAAATATTAGAATGGAATGTCTACTAGCTATCGAGTGTCCAGAATTGTGATACATATAACGATTTACTTACTGATACTTTTGAAGGCTAAATAGAGCTGTCATCTATTAATTGGTCTTGCAGCTTCACTGTGCATACAGGTGCTGGTTTAATTGTTCCTGAAATTCAAGAAGATGGAAAGGTACTCAGAATTTTCTTAATGCAACCGAGTAACTAAGTTATTTTTCTGGTGGGCTGTAAATGTTCCAGTAAATAGCTTTAGCAGTCAACTTCCTTGTAGTTGCTTTAGAAATGCTTTGCAGCATAAGTAAAATAATTTTTTAGCTTCATTGTTATGATATTAATTTACATGTGTTTGGTTATAATTTCAGGTTAGAGTTGATATGGGAGAGCCGATTCTGAAGGCATCTGATGTTCCTACTAAATTACCTGCAAATAAAGATCAATCAGTTGTTAGGTCAAAATTAGATGTAGATGGAATAACCTGGAATGTTACATGTGTTAGCATGGGAAATCCACACTGCATCACTTTTGGTACAGAAGTTAGCCAGGTATTTTATCTCTAGAAGACTCTTCTCTGGTTCAATTGTTCAGTGAAGTTCTTATGTGATATAGATTAATAATACACTCTTTTGACTTGTTATGCAACAGGATTTGCAAGTTGATGGACTAAATTTAGCAGAAATTGGACCAAAATTTGAACACCATGTGATGTTCCCTGCCCGAACAAACACAGGTACCAGTTATACTTCAAATTTAAGCAAACTGCGTATGCTACGGTATTGCTTAGTTCATACTTTTGTCAGATTTACCCCTCACATACATATATGCTTGCCCTCTGATGCACAGACTCTTCTAAATGGACGAAATACCCATGTCGACATGACGCGATATTGGTATGGGTATGGGATATGTGTCGAATCCTCCAAATTTCAACCAACATTTTGCCGTTTCTGCCTTTTTCTTTCCCTTTTCTTTTCCTTTTCTTCTTTCCCGTTTCTAATCTCTGTAAGCCTAGCGCCGCCGTCGAGAGGGTGGAGCCAGGCGGCGGTACTAGGTTTTCCCTTCTTTTTTCTTCTTTCTTTTTTCTTCCCTGTTTTTTTTTTTCCCTTCATTCTCTTTCTGTACAAGGTTTTCTTTATATAAAAAAATGGGTTCCATGTAATACTACTTGGTGTTCCACCAAATCTAATTTGCAATCAAGTCCCTCATTTTCTATTTTATATAACATTTAGTAATTAACTTCCCATAATTGAAAACTAAATCTCGAAATTCTATTTTATTCGTCTTAACCTCTTATTCAATATTTATTACCTTCTTTGTGTACAATTGATTTTGGTCAATTTAAAATGACATCTTGGGTTAGTAAAAAAATTAAAGTGTGAAAGACGTACCTATGTACTCGTGTCTGAAAGTTGGACTCTTTTTAGTCATGTCCCCGTATTCTATATTTTAGAAAATAAAATATCCGACACTTAAATACAAACCAATACCCGTACCCGATTCCGAGCATTATAGTGCATGCTCACAGTTGCACATGGATGACCACTTGCAACAGGAGTATTTTGTGTGAGAGACAAATTATTATCTAGTGTTGGCTTAATGATGCAGGATCTATTAAAAATTATGACTCAAGGATTACAAGTTACAATTATTATGCACATTTAAGATTTTTTATTGTAACAAACCCTGTGATCTTCTGCAGAATTTGTTCAAGTCCTCTCTCCAGAGCACCTCAAAATGCGGGTTTGGGAGCGAGGGGCAGGTTATCATTTATCCATTTCTGTATATGCATTTTCTAAATTTTCCTGTACAGTTGTGGTACTATCTTCATTCAAATCCTTTAACCCACCTGTGATTATTGAATGCATGCAACTAAAAAAGGGATTATCCTATAACATAGATCATCATCGAATAAGATCCAATAAGATGATCCCATTTTTTAACACATTAACATTGTTGGCTCGTTCTCCACCTTCCCACCTATGATTATTGAATGCATGCATGCAACTGAATAATAGATTATCCTATAACATTAACATAGATCATCATNCTTATTCACAAAGGTTTTAAATGGGGTTCGGGTTGATTATCTGTGTAGCAAGTTGGGCATGATAAACATCTATGCTCCAGTTTGAGGGGGAGTGTTACAGAATATATTCCTAGAATAGGAAACAAATATATATCATGAATTATAGGGATTTGATGTAATTAGTTTCATTCCAAATATAGGATTTGTAAGTTGTATATATACCTAAGAGGTGATGAATATAAAGTAGAGAAATTACTTTCCTCTCGTTACAAAAATAAAGCTCAGAATTGATACTGAAGCTGACGTGGCCGAACCTGATTGGTCTTTTTTTTTTTTTACCATCTTCCAATGGTGCTTGCTAAGTGTTGTCGGTTTTTCTATCAAAAAAATCTGTACTTATAGCATAATTGGTGAGTTTATATCTCACTGGATTCTTTTGATCCATTAGACTCTATAACTTATACTGACCGGTAGATTAATTTTCATCCTTGTTCATTCATATCCAAATTGCTTATCCAGCTTGTGCATGTCTATACATGATTGACTATATTTTACTTGGCTCTCCGTATCATGATGATCTGTCAAACTGCTCTGCCCCTCTTAGATATTTAACTGTGATGTTAACCTGGTTGGTCTGCAGGTGCAACACTAGCCTGTGGAACTGGAGCTTGTGCTACAGTTGTTGCTGCTGTGCTCGAGGGTCGAGCTGGGAGGGTAAGTTTGAATCGGACATTGTTTGTGGTCTCATTTTTAAGGGTTCATCATTCGATATCTATTTAATCTGTGCTTTCTAACACGTTCAACCACAGCATAATTGATAGGAGCTTAAAGAATGACCTCCTGATAATGATCAATTTGGGTTGTCCTCCCTTTTGTTTCCACACCACTCATTATCTTCTGCTTGTGTTTTTTTTCTATCTCTTGAAAACAGAGTTGTACTGTCGATTTGCCTGGAGGACCATTGGACATTGAATGGAGAGAAGATGACAACCACATTTACATGACAGGCCCAGCAGAAGTAGTATTTTATGGATCAATTCCACTCTAAATCCTTTTATTTTAGACTTGTTTGGGCATCTTGACTTTTAGAAAACTCGGAAGAAGCTCCCATTAGTTCTTCTAGTGTTGTACGTCTAAATTTTGAGACGTCAAGGGATGGGTGGGGAATTCTGATTTATCCAGTATGGTTGCATCCCCCATTTTTCTCTCCCCTGTTGTGAAATAATGTAGCAAATGAGCACTCATTAGCTCCAGGATCCTTTTTTGGTTCCGTGATGATGTCTAATATTTTTTTGGGTCCAAGGAGACTAGTGCATCAGTTATTCAATACCAAGTTCTTGTAATAAATTTTCTTATGATTCATATTTCAGTTTCAATCTGGTAAATACTAACAGATGATGTCAAAAAATCTGTGTCCAAAAGGGGAAAAATAGAGTGCAGAATGGTTTTAGAATTTTTTTTTTTTTTTTCCCTGAAACCAGTTATATTATAAATTTCATTATCTGCTTCTTGAGAATTTAGTCAATGACATTGTAGTTTAGTGACATCGGAAAGTACTAATAAAGCAAGAAAATCTAAATTATTCTCCAGAATTCTGTTTGAAATGCAGTTCCTGCAACAATTTAATACCCACTTGACATTGCAATTATTTGTTGACTGTTGCAGTTCAATATCTAAATTAATTGTTGCAATAATTTAATGGATTTTGCTACTTGACAGAAAATTTGTAACAGATTCAACGACATAATTCCAGTTGGCAATGGATGATTTGATGGAAATGTTGATAGTGTTTGAAATGTCACGTGACATTAAATTGCGGATTATGTCAACAATTATGTTAATGTAGCATGATTGTTATTTAATTTATAATACAACAGGCATTATTCAGTACAATACAATCCAAAAATATTGCCCTGCAACGCCCCCGGGGCACATTCAAGTTGGTAAAGGATGGGCATTGCTGGGCTTGCAACCTCAGGGTGGGGAGTTCGATTCCTGGATGGAGCAGCTGAGCGTTGTAATACTCAATTTGGGTGGAGTAGCTTGGTGATGTAATATCCATGGAGGAAGGCTCCCTTGGGGCCAGGAGTATAAAGGGTGCACAGACCCTGGTCAATTTGGGCATATCCCGCGATTAACCTCCACCCATCACTGAGGGGCCGGGGATGGGTGGTCCAGGACATAGTCTAGTGTAAGTTAGGATACCTGGATATCAAAAAAAAAAAAA